CACCAAACAGACTAGACCATGGGAAATTCCCCTCACACAATGAACTCTCATTATAGAACATGGAACAGTACAGCACAGGAACTGGCCCTTTGGCCCATGATGTTGTGCCAAATATGATGCCAAATTAAACGAATCCCTTCTGCCTGCTCTTGGTCCATATCCCTCCATTTCTTGTAAATTCATGTGCATATCTAAAAGCCCCTTAAATGCCCCATTGTACCTGCCTCTATCACCGCCCTTGGCAGTGTGTTCCAGACTCTGGATTCAAAGTCCAGGTCTTGAAATCACTGATTGAGTACTATGTCCATTTCGCTACCGGAACACTAACATGGCATTATTTGAAGAGCTGTGAAGTTCACCAAGTGTCCTGCCCAGCAGTCATCACTCAAGGCAGAGTTTATTAGTTGGATCCATCTTCAAGGAATCCATCAAATGTTACACATTTCAGCTGTTATCCACTGACCAATCATCCCTGTCTAACTCCCACTCCAGGTTATATGTTGCTCGTCTGAATTTTGAAGATCTTAGTCAGGTTTGGGTGTCAATGTAAAGCTCATCAGGACAGTGATGAAAGATGGGTAGGTATGTTTGGAGGATATTCTTGTGCTTCAGAGCTGCTTGAGGCAAGACAGTTTGAATGCAAACATTTGCCAGAACTAGATCAATGGAGAAACTGTTGGAACTATTCCCTACTACATCAAAAACAAAGCAGATTACCTCCATTCATTTGTTCAGGAGCAGAAGCCAGCAAATAATAAATAATCCGAAATGACAATAGAATCACCAAAAGGGAGCTTCCTGTTTACCACACCTACTCTCACAGCTGGGTGCTGAAATTGTGGAGTTTTGGGTCTCGGTTAGGTAATATCTAGTGTTAGTTAGTGTCTGATTTAACAACAGAGAGGAAAAAACCAAGATTGGACTTAATTCCTGGTTGCCATTAAAGAGGTTCAAGTGGATATGTGATTTTAAAACATCTCCGTGAAATAACCAGTTCTTTTGTCTGTTTCTGTGTGTCTGTCTGTCTGTCCGAGGTGGTTTTCCTCATTCAAAAATGTAACTCTACATTCTTTCACAATCGATCATAATTCTTTCACATGAAAAGATTGATAAATCCAACACTGATTCATGTTCTCAAGAGTAATTTCCCCAAATTAGCTGCTAATTTATGTTAATCAGGGTCTTAATGGTAATATGATGAAATCTAACAATTTGAGCATTCTTATACACGAATCTCTTAATTCTATAAAACCAGTGCTTCCACCAGTGTGTATTTTAAGACCACCTTCATGCTATTAGCAGGACACACAAAAGCTTCTTATTCACCAGGTACACAGTACATGTCTAGTTACAACATTTAAAAGGCATTTGGACATGTACATGAATAGGAAAGGTTTAGAGGGATATGGGCCAAATGCAGGCAAGTGGGCCGAGTTTAGTTTGGGAAACTTGGTCGGCATGGACAAGTTGGATCGAAGGGTCTGTTTCTGTCTGTGACTCTATGTCTGATAGAATACCTACTACTTGCCTGGATGAGTGCAGTTCCAATAATCAAGAAACTCAACACCAGCCAGGACAAAGCAGCTGGCACCCCATTGGCAATTTTCAACATTTCTCTCCCTCCTCCCCAGTGCACCTTGGCATCTGCAAGATGCACTGCAGCAACTCTGTTACCTTTTGTCAGCACTTCCCAAACCAGCTGTCTCTATAACACAAAGAACAAGGAGAGTAGGTGTGTGGGAACAGCTATAGATTCCCCTCCAAGTCACACACCATTCTGACTTGGAAATAAAGAGGCAATTAGCCGTTGTCATTGGGTCAAATTCCTGGAACTTCCTCCCAAGCAGTACTGAGAGGGTACAGTTACCATGTGGACTGTAGTGAATCAAGAAGGTGACACCACCATCTTCTTAAGTAAAGTTGGGATGGACCACAAATGTTGGCCTTGCCTTGAGTGAATAAAAAAGACATTTTGCCTCTACTTCCCAATCTCTCTCAATGTGGCATCCCCTCAGTATAGCATTGGAGACTAATTAATCAACCTTCTTGCAGTATTATGGGTGGCATGGTGGCTTAGTGGTTAGCACTGCTGCCTCACAGTGCAGGGGCCTGGGTTCGATTCCACTCTCAGGCGACTGTCTGTGTGGTGTTTGCACGTTCTCCCTATGGCTGCTTGGGTTTCCTCCAGGTGCTCCTGTTTCCTCCCACAGTCCAAAGATGCGTCGGTTAGGTGTATTGACCATGCTAAATTGCCTATAGTGTCCAGAGATGTGCAGGGTAGGTGGATTAACCGTGGGAAATGCAGGGTTACAAGGATAGGGTAGAGGCATGAGCCTGGGTGGGATGCTCTTTGGTAGGTTCATGTGGACTTTATAGGCCAAATGGCCTGCTTCCACACCATTGGGATTCTACAATTACATATGTAAATGCAGCTATTTTATTGTAAAATATTTTTGTTGCGGTGTGGTGTGCACAGAAATTTTACACCATGGGTTGGTGGGCGAGGACCTTTAGGAGGAAACAATGAGGGAGGGAACTCCCTGCCTCAACCCATGCCACTAAACCGATTACCTGTTCTTTTATCTCTCTGCTAATGTGTAGGCCATTGATGTGTCAAGTTAGTGGCTGTTTCTCACATTTTAATAATGGTTGCCTTTGATGCCCATAAAACATGTCGAGACATCCCAAGGTAGTGAAAGATGCCTTACACGTTCAAGTTTGATATTTGTTATGAATCCATTTACTTGGCTTTTGAAAACTGTCTCCTGGCATAACCTCACTACTAACTAACTTCACAACGTTGCCTGTCCAAATATAAGCAGCTTTGAGACTGTCTAAATTCATAGCTTGTTTTTTCTGATACTGGCAGCTGATTGTAGGAGAGAAATTAAAGACTTCCATCAATACCAACTTTAAAGAGATGACTATAGTAGTGAATTATGAGGGATTTCAGCATCATTTCTCCTTCCCAATTTGTTACTTTAAAGGATTTAAGGGACACCCATGTAAAGTTGCTTGGCTAACGTTTGATTTTGACTTATTTGTACTCGGGGATCCAGTGAGATGAGTGAAATATAACCTTCAATGATCATGTTGAAAATGAGCTATTCTACTTCATTGTATTGTCTGTTTTTGCTTGTTAACTCTTCAGTGAAGCGTCAAGGTATATTTTACACTTCCAAAGCACCTTTTACATAGCCGTTGAGCAGTCAACCTTGTTTGTCTTCATAAAACAGCCACTGCTGCTCAAAGGAGCTCCTGGCCTGTGAAGAGTTTATAGGTGGTGATGGCAGATGTTATGTAGTTCTTCATGAATTTCTGTCTTTTCTTTCCTTCAGCTGAACTAACAATCCTTTTTATTTATGGAGCTGCCCTCTGGTTTTTGTATATTTTTGGTTGAGATGATGAGTTGCTGATTACCTCATCGGGGAGTTGTTTTACTGGAGTTACTGAGCTGGGATCATGCAGAGGAGTTTTATTTAACAAGTGAAGATTAAATGACAAGAGCACTGGGTTACTGAATGTCTCCCTTTTTATATGAATTTTCCTCCCTGATCACTGGGACTGTAACTCTTCCTGGTAGATTTCCCTCGGTGATAGTCTGCGTACTCAAAGTACTGCAGAATGAGATGCATCAAAAAGACACGAGAATAAATCATATTTTTTCTGGAATATCAGCAAACATAGCATAGAAGGGCTGTAATTCAGGAAGAGTAGGGGAGTGGGACTTACTGGATTGCCCTTTCAAAGAGCTAGCACAGGCGTGTTGGACCAAATGGCCTCCTCCTGTGCAATATGAATCATGAAGGAGACAACTTCAGGGAAACTGTGCCTGGATTTTACTCCTTGTGTTTAATCAAGGGAGTAACTGAATGTTCCTTCAGGTTTTTGAAAGTGATTTGAAAGCTTCCTGGACATCGTACATTTAACATTTCTTGGAACTTCTCTTTGGAAAAGTGCAATATAATACTAGGCCCTTCAGTACGTGGCAGAAAGCAGGCTTGCGAGAGTCAGCTGCAAAGTGCAATTTGGAAGCATTTGAAGCAGCTGATGAGAGGCTAGGCCAGCTGTGAACTGGACAAAACTTCTGAAGAATAGAACTTTGGAGGGATTCCCGGTTCGCTGCCTTGCAATGCCCACCATAAAATGGCCAAGGCCTCGAGAAAGTTAGATGGCTGTCATAGAATCATAGAATGCCTACAGTGCAGAAAGAGGCTATTCAGCCCATCAAGTCTGCACTGGAGGCTGGCAGTGAAACTCTGCAGTAATCCATTACACTCACTCCTTTCCCAACGGAATTAGTGAGCGTGAATATTTAATGAGGTGCACATAAACGTAACCGAGCTCGAAGGCAAGGCATAGCAATATGTCAAACCAGTCTTCATGTGCCACCCAATTGACTTGAGCATTGGGCTGAGTACTTGCTTGTCATTGAGTAAATTAAAAGGCACCCTATAGAGTGAGGTTGGGGAGTGGTGGGTAGATAGTACTTGAGGAACAGAGCATGACAGAGCAGTTGGCAGTAGTTTGAGAGTGTCAGTGAATAGGATGCATTGACGATACACATGGACACGTTGAATTGGTGTTTGGCGCACATGGCTTTCTGATTCAAGACCGAATTCTCCACCGCTGCTTCCTTCCGTCTGCAAGGCTATGCATCATTGTGGGGGCAAGCTATGGGATGGTAGTTAGTGAAAATTATTCCTGAAATCCTCGGTGCCTCACTGTAAGGGACCCCTGATTACATGAGACATCTGGAGCGCTGCTTTAAATCTGATGTTCAGTGTTAATTTCAGTTATTCCATGAGCTTCATTACCTAAGCTTTTCTGCTGTCCATCGTTGGTGCAAGACTATCATGGCAACAGTGTGAGAGTGCTCCTGTGTATTTTGATGTGAACATTCAGGTTGTAGCTGTTTTATGTCCATTTATGCTAAATGGAATGTATTCTCTTACATTCATAGTATACTAACACACTGCCCTTTTTTCCCTCTTTTTCAGAGGTGTCTGTAAAAGTTCAAGTCTTTGATAACGGTGACCTCTCACCCCTGACGGACGCTGCAGTTGACATTTACACAAATCAGTCCTGGTTAGCCACAGGAACCACTGATAAAGATGGAGTGGCTCTGATCACATTACAATACCGTCTGGGAACCTGGCTAATCGTCACTGCAGCAAAGCCTGGCTTTGTGACAAATTCTGCTCCATGGCATGCCAACAAAACACCACGTAAGTGTCTGCAAAAGTCATAATAAAAAAGAGTGCCTTTTTTTCTTGCAATGCACATGCCTTGCTGGCAAAGTATAGAAATATAAAAGCATGCAAATATACAATTTGAGCTGCTGATCTGCTCACTCTCCCTGTCAGGAGCATGTGCATTGGTGGAATACACCAATAAAATGCTTTTCTATTTGACGTAGCCTACTGGAATTACAAGCTTTGGCAGTGGAACTGTTGGTAGGGAATGGTCTTCTCCAGCAGAGTTGCAGGAGCATTGTTAGATTATCCTGCTTCAGGAAGAGGTTAAATCATTCTGTGGAAAAAGTACACAAGATACCCTATGATGAATCTTACCCTAGTGGCCACCAGCAGTGTTTGTATCATTTCCTGTGTGTGGCAGATGGCCATGTATTTTCACAGCGTGCCTTTAAATAGTTAAAGAAAATAAAAGCCTGCAGGGAACGTGCACTTCCTGAGAGACAGCCTCTCTCTCTCTCTCTCTCTCTTCTGTCACAATTCTGTAAATTGCTTGTGTCAAGATCCCCTATTCAGATTTGGTATGTTATCCATCAATCAGACGGTACTAGTGGGCTCCAGATGTGGGTCTTTGAGTGACCTTCTGAAATTTCACAGCTCCATTGCCATCTTGAACATAAAAAGAATACATTCAACGCTGACAAATACACAATGCCACGGACAATTTGCTTATAACTAATGATTTATTTGCCCAGTTTTTTTTAACTTTATATACATTTTTGCTAACCTCATGGTGCTATTTTATCGTTGCTTATCTCCGTTTTAAAACATTTATAAAGTGACATTGACATTAGTTTACCAGGAGAATACTGCCTCAGTAAAAACGTACTACTAAGACTGATTAGAGGCAAAATTATCCTTGCTCTCTAATCTACCCTGGCCTAAGAATACAATTTGAGGCAGTTTTAAAGGCAGTTCTTCTCTATAGTTAAACTGCACTCTACTTGATCTGACTATACTTTATAGAAAACAGTTCTAAGAGAAATGAGGATAATTTTATTATGCAAAACCAGTGTACGTATAATTTGCTTTGTTAATTTTGGGAAGTATGTGCTTCCTGTATTAGTTACGTATGAACAGAAGCAAGGGTATACCAGATTATGGCTGATCTCAACTTCACGTTCCCAATCACTTGCTGTATGTGCAAACTGACTTTTTGTGATTCATGTAGCAGTACACCCAGACCCCTCTGTATCTCAGAGTCCTGCAATCTCGATTTCAGTCATGTGGTGCTTTCCTATTCCTCCTGTCAAGTTCACATTACAGACCATGTGCCAGGTTGTTTTTTTGCCCACTTGTTTAACTTGTGTCTATCCCTTTGCAGACTCCTTATGTCATCTTGACAACTTACTTTCTTAGCAGTTTTCGTAGCTTCCCCAATTATAGCAACCATACATTCAGTCCTTCTATTCAAGCCACTGATCTAAATTAGAGTTAGTTGAGACCCTAGAACTGATCCCTGTGGCACACTATTCATCAAATCCTAACTCAAAGATGACTCATCTAAGCACACCCTATGCTTCCTAGTAGCCAATCAGTCCTTTGTCCCTGCTCATATGTTACTTGCTACACTGAGTGCTTTTGGTTTACAACTTGACAGATCCCTTCTGGAAATGTAAGTGCACTACATCCACTGGTTCCCCTATATCTATGTTGGTTGCTACTTTCTCAAAGGCATTGTTAATCAAAAGGGAGGCAATGGCCTGGTGGTATTATCGCTGGACTGTTAATCCAGACACCCATGTAATGTTCTGGGGACCTGGGTTCGAATCCTGCCATGGAAGCTGGCGGAATTTGAATTTAGTAAATATCTGGAATTAAGACTCTAATGATGACCGTGAATCCATTGTCGGTTGTTGGAAAAACCCCATCTGATTCACTAATGTCCTTTAGGGAAGGAAACTGCCATCCTTACCTGGTCTGGCCTACATGTGACTCCAGACCCACAGCAATGTGGGTGACTCTTAACTGCCCTTTGGGCAATTAGGGATGGACAATAAATGCTGCCTGGCCAGCGATGTCCTCATCCCGTGAATGAAAAAAAATGCTTGCAGATGACTCTAAAATTAGTGGTATGGTGGACAGTGAAGAAGGTTATATAAGATTACAAAGAGATCTTGATCAGTTGGGTCAATGGGCTGAAGAGTGGTAGATCGAGTTTGATTTGGATAAACGTAACGTATTGCATTTTGGTCAAACAAACAATATACAATTAAAACTAAGGTCTTCAATAGTGTTGTAGAACATGGACCTAGGGGTTCAGGTACATAATTCTTTGAAGTTTGCATCACAGGGTGATTAAGAAGGTGCTTAGCATGCTTGCCTTCGTTACTCAGACTTTTGAGTATAGGAGTTGAGTTATACAGACATTATAGTGAGGTTGTACAGGACATTGGTGAGGCCTCTTCTGGAGTACTGTGTCCAGTTCTGGTCGCTCTGCTATAGGAAGGATATTATTAAGCTGGAGAGGGTTCAGAAGAAATTTACCACGATGTTGCTGGGAATGAAGGGTTTGAGTTACAAGGAGATGTTGGACTTATTTCACTGGAGCATAGGTTGAGCGGAGACTTTATAGAGGTTTTTAAAATCAATAAGGGGTATAGATAAAGTGAAATGGCAGGTGTCTTTTCCCTAGGGTGGGGTATTTCAAGACAAGGGGGCATATTTTTGAGGTGAGAGGAAAAAGATTTTAAAAAGACATGAGGGGCAATAGTTTTACACAGACAGTGGTTCGTGTGTGGAATGAACTTCCAGAGGAAGTGGTGGATGCAAGTATGATTACAACATTTAAAAGACACTTAGATAAGCATATGAATTGGAAAGGTTTGGAGGGATCTTGGCCAAGCGCAGGCAGGTCAGACTAGTTTAGTTTGGGATTACGTTTGACATGGACTGGTCTGTTTTTGTGCTGTTTGACTCTGATTCTATAACTCTAATAAATAAGTTCAGCATGATTTCCCTTTCTCAAAGCCATATTGAAGCTGCCTGATTGCATTAAAATTTTCAAAGTACCCTGCCATAAATGTATTAATAGTTGATACCAGCATTTTGCTATGATGTTTGGCCATCAGTCCAGTAGTTTCCTGCTTTTTGTATCTCTCCTTTCTTCAATACAGGAGTCACATTTGCTATTTTCCAATCTAGTGGGACTTCTCCAGAATCTCGGAAATTTAGGAAAATTAAACCCATTTACTATCTCAACTGCTCCTTCTTTTAACAACCTAGGATGAAATCCATCAACATAAGGGGATTTTAATTCTGATTCTTTTTAAGTTCCTAACTCCATTTCACATTCAGAGTCTGTTACCTCTGGGATATTATTTATACTTTGAATGTACCAAATAATGTATTGTTTATCTGGAAGAATAGCTAACAGAAAGGAGACATTACTAAAGACACAGAGGGTTTGATAGTGTATATCTTGGGTGGGAACTCTAAAACAGACAAGATGGGACCACACACCTGATAATTAGTTCTGTTTAAGTTGAAGTATAATGGCCAGCAGTTAGGCTATCATCTGCTTTACAACGCTGCCCAAGTTTAATTTCACCTCACAAACAAAAACAGACATTGCTGGAAAAGGTCAGCAGGCCTGGCAGCATCTGTGGAGAGAAATTAGAGTTAACGTTGAGTGACCCTTCTCCAGAATTTTACCTCAGGGTTTCACTCACTTCTGCATCATCGAAGTTTAAGCAGCTGTCATTGGCTAGTTCTTGTTGAATCTTGCGTGTAAATGTTGCTGTCCAGTTGCCCAATGCACAGCGTTTGCACAAGTGAAACCTGCATTTTTGCCTCTGCTCATTTCTCACCTTGTATATTGTAAATCTATGGGCTTGAGCTCTACAAATGCTGACCTCTGGTTCCACGCGAAAAGATGCAGTAGCAATACCATGTTCCCACTCTGCTGCATGGAGCTGCTCTTAACAGGGCCTGAGGTGCTATTGTTGAACCCCCCACCCCAGGCCCTCTGCGCTTGCTAGCAGGCATTGATGACTGATACCATTTCATAATGAATAACTTAGAAAAGAAAATAAATCAAAGATGTTTGTTTTCAGATTCAGTGAGGGAGAAGAGCCGTAATTTTTTGTTTGAGTCTTAATTACCTTTTCTTTAAAGCATGCCAACTGGGTCTCCCCACTAAACATTTAGCAAATGTTTAGCATTTTTTAGTATTTTAGCATTTTTTTGGTAAAAATTGATTTATTTACCACAATTAAGAATCACAGAATTGTGATAGTGTAGAAGGAAGCCATTCGACCCATTGAGCCTGCACTAGCTCTCTTAGCTCGTGCCAATCTCCTGCTTTTTCACCATCTCCCTGAACACCATTTGTACCTGAATAATTATCCAAAGCCTTGTTGAACCTGCCAACATCACATTCCCAGACAGTACATTGCAAACTCTAGCTACTCACTTCAGGAAAAAAATTTTTTTTTTTGACATCACCTTTCTTTCGTTTGCAGATTTCTTTGAATCTGAGCCCTTTCATTTTTTTTCTGTTTGTATGAGCGGGAAGAGCTTCTTTCTTTCTACTGTATGATTTAGTCTATTACATGTGACTTGTAATAAACTACTGCTTTTAGTGCAATCGTTACTGCTCAAAACATGAATTGCCTGACTCTGTTTTGTTGTGGGTTCTGATTTTATCAGAATGCTTCGCTGAATTACAACACAGTTGGGCACCTCTACCAACAATTAGACCATAGAAAGTATGAAAGAAATAGAGTCACTAACACTTCTCCATGGCTAGTGCCTTTCACAGGAGTATTTGTCCAGATACTGCATTCCTCCTGGTTTGCCTTTAATGCTTTATTTTTTTTAATGTATTCATTCATGGGATGAGGGTGTTGCTGGCTAGGCCAGCATTTATTGCCCATCCCTAATTGCCCAGAGGGCAGTTAAGAGTCAGCCACATTGCTGCGAGTCTGGAATCACATGTAGGCCAGACCAGGTAAGGATGGCAGTTTCCTTCT